GCATTATACATTTTACTCCTGTTTATAAGTAACTTCCAACGTGTTTTACAGAGACCAAAAAAAACTTTAAACATTGTTAACTCTCATTTAAAATTTAATAATTTTTTAACTTTATTCTTATTTAATATATATTATATCTCATATAAATAAAGTTAATACAATAAAAATGAAGGGTAAAATTGTACATCCATACAAAAAATTTCTTTCAATATGTCATAAATGGAATCAAAAATATTTTCTCTGTCTATCATGTAAATAGGAACAGAGGAGTATATTAGGAAGAAAACAAAAAAGAATTTATGCAACTTTCCCTCTAAACTCGAATTTCCTACTTTGAAGTTAATTGGTTAATAAAATTTTTATTTTACTTTATTTTTCTCAAACAAGCACGTACGTTTTTCTTCCCGGATGCTATAAATCTAATAACCCTCAAATCGTAGAACAATATACTACCTCCCATTCTAATTATAAGAGCTAGTTGACTAATTTGAAGAAATTAAAAAAAGAAGTTAAGTTAGTTATTTAATAAATAAGTTTTATTTTTCCTAACATATCTTTGTTAATCAAGTTTATTGGCTAGAATTATCATTGTTAGAAGGACTATTTTAAAAAAATGTATAAATATTAGAGACAAAGTAGATTTAGGTTTTATATTTAGGACCAAAATAAAAGTCAAACAAGGTCTTATATTAAGGACCGGAGGTAGTAGCATTATATAGGAAGAAAGATTTTTCCAATATGTTTGCATTAAAAACAATAAGATATAAACAAATATATTTTGAGTGATATCTTTAACATGAATGTATATATTCATTTCATAGAAAAATTTTAATTTTGATTACCTATCGTATATCGATAATTAATTTAATTTCTTAAGGAATAAATTTCGGAGTAACAATATTCGCCGTATTTTTTAATACAGCACACGTGGCTGCTGTGTAGGTCTGTCTAGTATTTGCCATTTGGCTGTGGAAAACACGTGATTAAGTGTGATATCAGATCTTATCTTTTAATTTCACTTACAACTTAAGTGATTATTAGAAAATGAATTAACAGATAGGGTCAGGATACATTCAAAAAAAAAAAAAGGAAAAATTTTCATTTTGGATTTTAAAAAATTGGTATAAACTGTATGGGTACTATTTTTCTAGACAGATTAAAAATTAACTGATGCAGGAAAAATTTTATACACTGATTATAATAATATAGAGTACTAATTATTATAATGATCGGTAGAAATAGGGAATTTGTGGTGCTTGCTTTCCCAATAATTAGCAAAGTGAAAAATGCAACCGCTTAAAAAAGTTATATTTTTTCAGCAAACTAAGTAAAAGTAGGAGTTTACTTCAAGACAGGTACCAAAAAAAAAAGAAGAATTATCAGTTTTAAGGAAGAGATTTAATGAGAAATAAACAGCATAAACTTATTATTATTATTTCTTATACTAAAATTTGTTATTGTATACTCCTCAAATATTAATGAACTCTTGAGTAATTAAATTATTTTTTTAAGACCTAATAATACTCCTCTTAAAAAGAACAAAAAGTTAATGCAATCAGCAGGCGTTGATTTTTACAGGGAAGGTAGTATGATTATTGAAACACGAAGTTTTTTTATTTTTAAACTTGTGTGAACATGAAAAAAAAAACTTGTGAAATAATTATTTTTTATTGTCAATGATTTTATAGTTTTTTGGGTCAAGGAACTTATAGTTTAATAATATAAAAATTTTCTCATAAATAATCTCATTTGTACGTAATTTTTTTTTTTAGTGAAGGACATTTGAGGCTCATAAAAGTTGAATCTGATATTATCAAAACAATATCTAGTTAAAACAATAATGGAATGAGGATAGAAAACTGCACACAATTCATGCGCAAAAACACACACATATATACGTATATGGCTGGCGGATTCTTGGGTTCCTTTCTTTTTGTGATGGCAGATCAAATGGAGGCAGGGATTCCTTTCATTGCCATCGGTGTAATATTCTCTTTGTTCTTCCATATCTATAATCACTCTACATATTCCCTCCAACGCACCCACATATATTCCATTTTAAAAAAGGGATCATATAATTTACTCTGAATCTTCATCTTTAATAAATTGAAATTCCATGCTTACGGCGTGATTAATTAGCATCATGAGATATTAATCGTATGAAGAAAAGTAAAAGGAATAATAGAGACAACATCAAAGTCCATTAATTAAATCCAAATAAATATATGTGTGGTTGGACTTTTTACAGGGGTAGTTGTCTTCGGAACCAGTTTTAGTGTTAATCATTTTGTTGAACACCCTAAACTCATCACATCTGGATTGTCCATATCTCATTTAGGTGGTTCAGATTCGATTTTTTTATTTGTTTAAAATAATTATTTTAATATATATAGAATCTAAGATAATATATTAACTATCATTTTTTTAAAAATATTTTTCCATTTAAAAATAATTAATTAAATATTTTAAATTTGAACGGTTCAAATTAGATATAGATGACCCAAATCTAATGAGTTTAGGATATTCAAGGTGATGGACATTGAAATTGGTTCCGATTGTAATATCAGAAATACTTTGATATTTTTGTTTTATATCCAAAAAACACATCATCCTCAACACTACTACTATCATCATCATTATTATTATTATTATTATTATTATTATTATTATTATTATGCCAAAGTACGTAGAAGTATCGATTTGTAGGTCACAATACAAGCTTTCATATATTTTGATTCCAGATTGTGGAATGAGGAACCTGATTCAACCTAACCCACCACCAGCCATCATTATTGGGGCCAATTAAGTCAACTTATTAGGACCGTTTGTTTAAGATTAGAGAAAAATTATTTTAATAATTTAAGTATAATACAAATAATAAGATAAAGATAGGGAATGTTTTGAAATTAATCCACTTCTAACTCATTTTGATAATCTAATCCTTTAGTTTATTGAAATAAGCTACAAGTAAATTAATTTTAACATGTTCCTTATCTTTATTCCAACAACTCTCTTATATTTAATTAACCGGAATTACTTTTTCCTTAATTTTTTTTGCCAACATACTTTTTCCTGAATTTTAAACAAACCAGTAATCTGTCTTATTGTTTTTAGATACATTGAGTCAATGTGTATTATTATTTTTTAATTATATCACGGTTGAGGTGTGCATAGTATTTAGGTTCGAAAGAATGTTACTTTTCCAGTTAATTAATAGAAAATGTACAAATCGTATTAAAAAAAACCCATAAATAACATGACACATATTCATATAAAATATATCTAAATTTTATGCTTATAATAAATTATGCCCAATGTATATATAAACTCTTTAATTTTTTATTGATGAAGTGCAAAAATTGCACAAAATACCGGCCTCAAAGAAAACAGTGATTCGAACTTATAATACTTATCTGTTACTTATAAAATTTATTAAAAGAATATATATTATTTATGCAAGATATAGTTTTATATATCTATAATAAATTGTAATTTTTTTTATAAACACAGATATTTTTCTGTTACAGACAATCATATCTGAAATCTCTCAATAAAAATTAAAATGCCACGTAAAAAATTGTAGCTTATAATCGTACCAGCTAGTACTTGTCTTTTAAGTTGTTTGGTTGCTATCTCATTAAATGGCATCAGGAAAGAGAAAACTGTCAATTTTTTTTTTTTTGGTTTTTTTCGGAAGGGTGGGGGGAAGGAGGATGCTTCCAGACAAATTATTAAAAGTTGATGTAACTCAACATTAGTGTTGCTATTTACTTTTTTCTTTGCCAGATATTATTACTATTTACTTATGATAATAACGTTCATCAAATCCTTTTAATAACCCCAAAGGAAAATAAAAAAAGGTAGAAACATACCATATTAAGCACATGAGCATTGATTGAAAAGGTGTCCTGTGTAAAAGCCTTCCTTTTCCAGTTTTCCTGAACTACCAGCCATGCCAAAATGTCGAGTTGTTCAAACAACCACAATAATATGAAATCTCTCTTTTAAAATCAAAAAGAAAAAAGAAAAGAAAATGATCATTCTAAACACCACAGTGACATTAATCAGTAATATATTGTACTAATGAGTCGTTTTAGGACAAATATTGGTAAATCAAACAAGGAAGCTGCTTTTATCAGCAACAAGTCCTGCAAGTTGTTCCTTCTCCATATTGTGGCGTTTACAAACACGCCTCATCCATGTTGCTTCCTTCACAAGAGAAATTTATATGCCCAAACATAAAATCCAAATTACTTTTTTTTTTCCAAGACATTACCATATACTATACTATCTCTGATTCTAATTATAAGAGTTAGTTAACTAATTTGAGAAGATTAAAAAATAAGTAAGTTAGTTATTTGTAATAAATAGATATTGTTTTTTCTAAAATATCCTTGCTAATTAAGTATATTTGTTAGAATTACCATTATTAGAAGGATTACCTTAAGGAAAAAAAGATAAATATGAGAGACAAATTAATGGATTGGGGTATTATATTTATGATCAAAATAAAAGTCAAACAATGTCTTATATTAAAGAACGAAGATAGTAGTATTTAGTTGTAAAAATTTGCACACCATTATATTTGACAAAAAAAAAAGTCAACAGCTTAAATATCAGGCCCGAAACTTAAATTACCTGAGAAAAGGTAAAAAAAATTCCTTTCACAGATTGATAAGAAAAATGATTAAAAAAAAACTAAAAATTACTAAATATCAAATGAAAAGTGTTAACAAAAATTTGTTGTCAATTATAAATTTAGTGTTATAAACACTAAATAAAATATTATTACCAAACCAAAGATTTAATAATTTCGAGCAGTTTTGTGTCATTTTTCCAATTCATAATGGCAAAGTGTTTAGCTGGCAATCCTAATCAACAGCCTAAAATTCATTAATTAAAAAAAAAAGGATTGCTGACATGGATGATGCCATTGCCCACCTCCTTAAAGCTACAATGATTGGGCTTCTTTCTCCTGCTACAGGTCCTTTCTCTCTCTAGAAGCTGTTTTCTTTCTCTGTGTGGCTATATAGTTTAGAGAAGATTCTGTGGAGGAGAAGCCAAAAGCAATCTATTTGTTTACCGGCATTAGATTTTGGTTCCTTTTAAAGCTATCGATGCCCTTTTGAAAGCATATAAGAAAAGTTGGTTTAGTTCTTTGTAGGAGATAGTGAAAGAGAGCGAGAGAGTATTTTCTTCTTTTTGCCATTTGAAGTCTCTATGAAATGTTCTTCAAGTTCGAGAGTCTGTTTGTCGAAGAAGAAAATACCGAAGAAGGAGAGTGGGAGAAAGAAAGATAAGAAGAGCAGAAACCCACCATCCAGAAGTTGGGAAACAGGAAGATAGACGCCGGATTCGATCTATTTTGATCTGTTTCTGCTGGTAATAATCATAAAAGCATCAAATCTCCGTTTCTTGATCATTTCATATAAAGTTCCATGCTTTTCTCGTTTTCTAGCGTTCAGAAACAGCCCCTTTTATGGATCCGGAAACTGCTGCTCTTTCTTTGTGGATCAGAACAGAAAAATGTTGTTGAAGTTTTATGATGTGAATTTCGAAGTTTCTTCCCTTTTTTCCTCTTGTCAACGCGTTTTCTTGGTAACCAAACAGAAAGGCTTGTTGTTCAATATTAATATTACAGAGCCATGAGCAGAAAGATGCTGAGTTTTCTTGAAAGCTGTTATTGATGATGTGAAAGTCATATTTATATTGGGTTTTCTTCCTTTTGGTTTTCTTGGCAACCAAACAAAAGACTTGTTATTATTAGTGTCTTTACCATAAATATTCTAACTCTCATCGTTTCTTTTCTCATCACAGGAAGTTGTGCGATGTCTGCAACTATAATCAGCGATCCAGTGGTTATGTCGAATCCAGAAACCCAACCAGTGGCTCCTAGTAACATTATAGTTTCTGCACAAACCGAAGTTGAATCTGCAATCTGTGATTGCTGTGGACTGACGGAAGAATGCACTCCTGCTTACATAGAACGAATCAGAGAGCGATACTATGGGAAATGGGTTTGTGGGTTATGTGCAGAAGCTGTAAAAGATGAGATCTTGAGGTCTGAAAGGCTTATCAGTACAGAAGAAGCCATGGCAAAGCACATAAACTTCTGCAAAATGTTTAAGACTTCAGGGCCTCCTCCTAATCCAACAGTGCATCTGATCTCAGCCATGAGACAGATTCTTCGGAGGAGTTTGGATTCTCCGAGGGGGTTAAGGTTAAGATCCACACCAAGTAGTCCAACTAAGATTTCTGACACAGAAATTCATAGTACTACTGGGCTTACCAGGTCTGAAAGTTGCATCCCTAGCCTGTCTGCTTCATGAGGGCTTATGCTGAAACATGAATTTTCTGTGCTGTTCATCGCTCAAGTGTTGTCTTTATCTTTCTGAAAAAGACACTCTCACTTTCCAAGAAACTGAGAGGATCCATATCTGTATATGGGATGGGGGAAAACAAGAACAGGAAGCGATAAGAAGGGGAAATTGAACTTGAACTTGTACTTGATTGGCTTAAAATGGATGAGGGAAACAAGAATAAACTCATTATAAGTTAAGGCTTCAAAGTAGATGTTCAATTTTAGTTATTTAGTCCAGTAACTTGTCTTTCCGTCAGTTGTCATCAGAAGTTTCATATAAATATCGTAAGAAAATTTTGCTTCACTCCTAACACTTGCTCTGTTTCCCTTTCACTTTACTTCTTTCAAACTGTGAGAAAAGTCTACCTCTTGATAAAACGTGCAGCAGATGAGATATGATTGGACCAAGACAATACCATTACCACTTGCGGCATTCTGCACAATCTTCACAGAATCCTAAAAGTTACCTAATCTTGTGTTTAATCAAAGCTATCATAGATGTACACTATAACACTATTAACTCGTCTAAAAAGACCCTTTTGTCTGTCATAATGCAAGAACTCAACAAGGAATAAACTAATCTTTGCTTATATTGGATTGAAGATAAGGATGTTGAATTATATGAGTCACAGCATAGATCAGTATTCACTTGTTGGATTGATGAACTAAGCAGATTCTGAATCTTCATTCAACTTGGATTGAACGCTGCAATTCAAGGTAACTGTGTTATTGTAAGAGCTTAGATCTTCTCTAACAATGAAAGAGATAGAACGTAGAGATAAAGACAAGTTGTTTTTTCTGTTTTCAGAAAGGATTCAGATTAATCATTAATGCTCTTCCTCTCTGCAACGCATCCCCTCAAGTTGTTGTTATGCCAAGTAAAAGACAAAGGGGAAAAAGAATTAATTAGTAGGTGGTTAGAACAATCATAGAGATCTTGAAATGTGGAGAAACCCTGAAACAGTGAATCAGACATGTGATATAATCTTACAAATACAGAGAAGGGAGCTTAAATCAAGGGGCGTTGTCATGTATGACAAAAAATGAAGCTAGGCTAGCTAGGTTGTCTTGTGCAATTATGCAGGTAGATCTTGCAGATGTGCATCTCTGGTTGTGATCATTATTGATATTATAATAAATAAATGTAGAAAAAGAGAGAGGCACATTCTTGGATGGGTATGTACATAGAGACATGACCTAGAAACAAAATAATAATGGACACTAAAAATGGTACAAAGAAGGGGCCACCAAACATGATTGTTCCCTCACAAATAGTAAGTGGTTGCACAGTCTCATTCCCATCTCATCCTGACCTGTGATTTCCATTGAAGCTTTCTTTCAGATCTCTCTCCCTCTCCCACCCCTCTCATAGTACACGAGGGTCATGACAACTTGGATATGTGGCATCCCCATCTTTCAATTATTGATGTAAAACCATTCTTGCTCTTTTATATGTTCCTCTTTTTCTTACTGTATGACTTCCGTTTGCTGTTCTCCAAGTTGAGGACCTTTATGTGATGATTCTCAAAAGCTACTTAAATGCACAGTTTAATTATATTTAAGTGTGAGATAGAAGGGTGTGGTCCCATGGAGCTCCATTGCCATATGACTCAAAGTTTATAGGGATCAATTTGTTTTAAGTAAACCATATGAGAAGAATTTTGTCTCATAAAGTACAAGAGTGATTACCTGTAGTGAAACCAAACAAGTACGCCGTTGAATGGAATATACCATGTTTTTGACAGTTTAATCAGAAAATCTGGTTAAATCCGTGGCATAATTTACAGTGCATTATTGTGAATCAATTTTCTTTTATAGGTGGGTCAAAATATAATAGGAATCATTTTCTGAGGTCATGTAAGAAGCTAGCCTTGTCTTGTTCTTGGAGTAAGTGATAAAATTCGATCCTCATATATATAATTATATGCTATAGCTATATATGGTTGTCGCCTTAACATGTGTGTTTCACAACTATCGATTCCTTGAGCTTATAATGCAGAATGAGATTCTCCAATTCATGATTCTCTGTTTTTTCTTTCTTTTGACGTCCAACGATGCTATCTTATCAAGCTTTAGTGTGGCTTAGAAGATAAATGTTCTATAACAAGGGCTTGTGTTCTTCGCAATAAAGTTTCTTCAATTGTTCACTATTTATATAAAATAGTACACCATTTTGTATTCTATACTATTCCCTCTGGTCTTTAATATAAGATCTTGCTTAATTTTATTTGAATTCTAAATATAAGACCTCAATCCACTTTGTCTCTCATATTTATGTATTTTTTCTCAAAATAGTTCTTTTAACAATAATAGTTCTAGCCAATACACTTGATTAGTAAGGGTATTTTGGGAAAGACAATACTCCTCCGGTCCTAAATATAAGACCGGAGGAGTACCTATATATTAGAAATAACTAACTTAACTTCTTTCTTTAATCTTCTCAAATTAGTCAACTAGTTCTTATAATTAGGATCAGAAATAGTATTACAATACATACACACAAACACATATACATACATACATATTCAACCAGCTAGTTGGAATATCTTAAAGTCCCATCTTTATTAGACTATTTCTTTAAAATTCATTTGTTCTTCAGTGAATATTTTGCATCATTTAAACAATTAAAATCTTAATTTTCTTTTCACCTCCGTCCAATAGTTGACCATAAAGTCGGTGAATCTGTATATCTTTTGTGTTAATGTTATAACGAATTAAACAGGCTATATTCACTTAACTAGTAGGCTGGCTCGTTTAACTCACGAGTTAAGGGATTAGGGTTAATTGGATTCTACTAAAAGATATCTTCAAAATATTATTCAACTCAAATCACCAAATTGACGAGTTAAGTGGGTCAATTGCTGGACATATATACTAGTCTCATTTTTGCGGCTCTAAAACAATTGACGCCAAAAATCATATTTGATGGGCGAAGGTAAAGGTTTCCTTAATAAATAATCTACAAACTTCTACACAATATTGATTGTTATGGAATATACCCGAATATGTAGGAGAAAGGAATTACAAAAGCAAGTTACATATGTCACCTCATGAAGAAAAATATCTGGCTTTCCCTACTTGGATTTGTCAACTTGTGAATCAAAAGTTTTACCAAAGGAACAAGATAGGAGTGGATTTCACCATCCATGTAGGATGATAGGCAATATAGTATCAGAAAATTGAACTGTCTTTTTCTTTCAAATTTAAATTAACCAGCCAAACAAGCCATACTCTCCCACCAATCCTAGCCTCTCTTCTTCCCTTCCTTACGTGCAAAGTGGTTTTACCTAATTTTCTACATTATAATAACGCCAACTTTCGCCGTTTTGTTCTTGAGGGACCAATAATCATGACTAGTGTGATGTAGTTTAATTAATTAATCAAAAGTGATGGATTAAAAATAGTACTAACTCCAGTCCTTAATACAAGAACTGGTTTATTAATTTGAGTAAATTAAAAAAACTAGTTAACTTAATTATTTATAATAAATAAGTGTTGTTTTTCTAAAATATCCTTACTAATCAAGTATATTAGCTAGAATTATCATTATTATAATAACTACTTTAAGTAAAAGTAGATAAGTATGAGAGACAAAATAGATAATAAAAATCATACGAATTTTTATATCAAGAAGCAAAGGTAGTATGATATGGTCATGAATTTGTCTTGTTCGAATTGGCTTATTTTTGCTTTGTCTAAACCCAATTGGGACAATTATTGAGGCTGTGTTCTATTATTCTATTATGTTGCCGTGATTGGAGGTTTCTTAACAACCATATTCTTCCTCACTACACTTTAGCTTCACGATTATGTTATTGCTTTTTTTGGTATGATAACTTATAACAAGGTCCACACAACCTGTTCTAATTCATTATTATAGTATGATATATTTGTGGGGAAAGGAAAAGAATTATTCCTAGCTAATATATCAATAATTTTTATAGATATTGATAAACGAACTTTTTTCTTTTTGCTTGGGTTGGAATTTCATTTATGCCAAAATAAATGTCCAAGGATGAATCTCCTTGAAATTAAATATTGAGGAGAAAGATACATTCGCAGTCTGAGGATTAGTTTCTTCCTAGTGCCACAAAGTCAAAGAAAGATTAGTCCGCAAATATTTGAATAATATTAAGTCAATTTAAAAATTGGATTGCACTCTGTCAGGTTGCATCGGAAAATCAACGGAGGCCGATAAATTCGTATTTGATATAAATTTATTATTAAAAATTATCTTAATTAATGGTTATATAAGGCGTTTAGAAACAGTTATTTAGTGAGCATACTGCATATATTTAAATTCACGATGGATATAAAACATGCATGTAAAACATTATTGAGAAATGTAATAAGATATGACATTTCTCCTTACTATTACCGTAATTTTAATTTCCATGAATATATATATATATATATATATATATATCTTGAACAAATACAAGAGAATACGCTTTCATTCTGATAAATCTTAACGAGATTGTCGCGTTGGTCTTTGGGCTTATAATTTTTGGGCTTAGGCCACTATGTCCAACAATAAGTATTGAAGTTATAACAACAACAAGCCTTATCCCACTAGGTGGGGTCGGCTACATGAATCACACGACGCCATCGTGCTCTGTCAACAACCAAATCCTTAGATATGTTATTGACTAGGAGGTCTCTTTCAATGACCTCATTCAACGTTCTTCTCGGTCTTCCCCTGCCTCTTTTTATGGGACTCCATCTTGTTTGATCCACTCTCCTCACCAGGGCCTCCAAAGGCCTTCTCTGCACATGTCCAAACCATTTTAAGCGATTTTCAACCATTTTCTCTTGGATAGGTGCCACACCAACTCTTGTCCTGATCTTTTCATTTCGAATCCTATCTTTTCTTGTATGACCACACATCCATCTCAACATCCTCATTTCTGCTACTCCGACTTTGTGCTCTTGTTTTCCCTTTATTGCCCAACATTCACTACCATACATCATAGCTGGTCTTATAGCAGTCCGATAACTTCAATAAATATTGAAGTTAAAATGATGATAAAGTCATTAATAGTTATTAGGTCTAGCAGAAAAGACTAATTCCTCCCAATATGATAAATGAATATTCAAATTTTTATTGAGAGAGATACCTACATTTAATGTTTGACAGTATCTCGAATAAGATTGTCTCTAATAAGAGGTACCTACAAAAAACAAATGATGATAAAATCTTATTGTCATAAGAAGAAGAACACAAGTTCAAATATCAGGAAGCATACTTGTTAGAAAGACTTTAACTTTACACTTTTGAATCGACAGGGATTAATGCCAAATTTAGAGTGAGAAGATACTTTGAATTATACCAGAAAAAATGATGATAAAGTGGTATTAAACATTTTTAACTTTTTATATTTTGGGCTAAGATCTTGTCATTTTTAGTTGACTAGACTGAGGCCTATTATTATATGAGCTTCGGTCAAGCCGGGACCTTTCACAATTATGGACCAGAAAAAAGGGCGGGGGGAGGAGTAAACCTAAACCAATGGCCTTTGTAGCTCATTCTTTGAGCTTTGCGTTAGTGTTACCAGTTGTGTTATAAGAGACAAACTATGGAGCATCTGTTTTTGGAAGACAAGTCAGGGAATTTGGGAAGGCAAAGCCCCTGATGAAGGAAGGCCAGCTAGTCTGCAATACTAGTTGTTATATACTACCTCTGGTAATTAATATAAGATCTTGTTTGATTTTTATTTTGTCCTAAATATAAGACCCCCAATCTACTTTGTCTCTCATATTTATGTATTTTTTCTTAAGATAGTCCTTCTAATAATGATAATTCTAACCAATATACTTGATTAATAAAGATATTTTAGGAAAAACAATACTTATTTATTTTAAATAACTAGCTTAACTTATTTTCTTAATCTCCTCAAATTAGTCAACTAATTTTTATATTTAGAATCGGAAGAATTAGTTCTTAAGGGGAGGCGTGTGATGGGTAGAATGTATAGGTTTCCTTGAGCGTATTTCTTTGGCTTCCGCTATTATCTTTTCAGTATGCATAAAATTGACTGGTCATGGCAAAAAATGAAACCTCGTTGACAACAAATATACAAAACCTAAGAAAACATAAGGGCAGGAAGTCAAAGCAAATCCCGGATGACATCTTGGGACGACGACCCTCTTGTCTGGTCACAGCTCGCAACTCAAGATAGTAATGTGTCTTTTAGCAAACCTCGATGCTGCATGCAAAACCATTTTTCTCTTTCACCTTTTAATAATCCAGCATCGTCGCAATTCCCAACTCTCCTTCACGTGCAATTACTCCTTCATTTCCCTGTTCTCCCCGCAGAACCCTCCCTTCCCTCCTCCGCTTTCAACTCTCCTCCCTCAGTCACGTGCGTCTGTACCAGCCTGCCATCTCCATTTTCTCTGCAAAAGCTCCACGTTACCCCACCATCACCATGAAACCCAAAACATGAACAGTTCAACTTCATTTACGCAAATGCATACTGAAGCGTCTTACCAAGTTTCCACCTTTTGACTACCTACCTCCCACTTCGCGTCTCACATTCTCTGACTCTCTGTATTTGCATTTCTTGATTGAGCTTGGGTATGAAGTTAGCACGTAGAAATACGACAGTTTGAACCAATGTCTTTCACATCAATGGCGACTTCATTGACTAGTTCGACGGAGCAGCCGTTGAGTCCCAGGTCGCCGCCGCCGCCGGGGCTTCTGGATTTCTATGGGAAGCGCAAGCAGATGGTTAAGATTCAGGTCTTAGAGAGAGAGATCGCTTTGCTTCAGGTCAATATTAATCACTTCTCTTTCTTGTGAAAACTTTTCCCTTTTTCATTTCTTGGTACAGAATGAAGCAATGGGAAAGCCCGGTTCTGTTTTTTTTTCTTATCCTGCTGCTTCATAAACACTACCACATTCTCTGTTATTAAGTCAAAATTGGCTTAGTGTGTTACATTCAGGAAACCTTGTGTCAATTATGAGTCAGGAATTCAAGATGAGAGAGCTTATTGCAACAAACGATTTTCTGGTGTGTTACAGGACAGTTTTTGATATAAAGACAGTCCTAAAGACCAAATATGGCTTTAGTCAACATCTTTAGGTCTAGTGCTCTAATGAAGTTCTAACTAGTAACTATAGTGTGCATCAAATTCATTTGTATGTGTGGTACATGGAGAATGCAGTTAAATGTCTTGTCAAAATCTCAACACAAAGGCACGGTTGACCCAGTAGTGAAGGCAAGTATGCAATGTGTGTTAATATGCATTAGCACAAGTAATTTGAATCTTAACGAAGCCAGTTTCTTGTGTATTTTCTGCTTCTGTTGGCGATTCGCATTCTTTTGACTAAATAGAGAGGTGGATTAGTTGAATTGCACACAATCAAGTTGACTCAAAAGGTCATTTATGAGATAAGACGTCCTATTTATGTGATATAAAAATGAACATCACGAAATGAATGTACTACTCCGGCCCTTAATTTAGGACCTAATTCTTGAGTTGGTTTTGGTCCTAAATATATGATCCATTTATCATATTTATCAATTTTTTCTAAATTACCCCTATGGATACTTCCTCAACCGTAATCAAGTAGAGGAGGGAGATGAGTTATTAAAAAAGATGATTATGGTGTTTTAGGAAAAATGTGTCACTTTTTTTATAATTAACTAACTTATCTAACTTCTTTAATCTAATCAATTAGTTAAATGGGTCTTATATTAAGGACCGGAGGTGTATAATATAGGACTTAATTTTTGAGTTAGTTTTGGTCCTAAATATAAAACCCATTTCTCATATTTATTAATTTTCTCTAAATTACCTTTATAGATACTCCTTCAAACATAATCAAGTAGAAGAGGGAGATGGGTTATTAAGAAAGCTGATTATGGTGTTTTAGGAAAAAATGTGTCACTTTTCTTATAATTAACTAACTTACCTAATTTTCTTAATCTAATCAAATTAGTTAAATGGGTCTTATATTAAGGATTGAAGGAGTATTACACAATTTAGTAAGAGATTGTAACATCCCTCATTACCTTATGTAGACAACATAGCAAAATACAACTGTTAATTATTATTCGGTGCTACTAGATGTGCTGCTGAACTTTGCTGATAATGCAAAACAGTACAGTTTGTCGCATGTTTGCTATATCTGCAGAGTCTCTGACATAGCATAAATAAATAATCTATTCGGCTCCTCCTTTGTGCTAATTAACTTTATCTCCGTGAAACTAGTTTCAATTAACCAAACGGAGCTCATTTTCATACTTTCATGTGTATGGCCTGCAGGAGGAGTTAAAATCACTTGAAGGTCTTCACCCTGCTTCTAGATGCTGCAAAGAGTGAGTCTTTCTTCCTTACTGCTTCATATAGAGATACAAAACCCTGAGGTAGATCATTAGTACTACATTTGGAGCTGAACTCAATCTGATGTACTTAAATGCCTATTCGAAATGGACAGTTCTGATAGATCGAGAGTTCCTCATCAGCTTCTCTAGTAACATGTTTATATCACTGTTATATGTTGAATGGTTATTTAATTTGATGGTTGACATGTATATATTTCTTGACAGGCTTGATACTTTTGTAGGGTCTGGTTCAGATCCCTTCACATCCACGTACGAATCGCCAAACACTTCTTTTGATGTACTTTATTATTGGTTATAAGTCACTGAACATGATAATCATTGCTTCTCAAACAGAAATCAGACAATCTCCAAATCCCATGGTTTTTGGAAGCATACCAGGTTCTTATAATTCTTACCTCCTCTCTTTCATCTCATCATTAGTCCACTATAAAACTTGTTTTACTGCTAAAAGAGAAAGATTAGGCAGTACTCCTTCGGTAAGATTTAAGCGATGACTAAGATGTTGAGTACAAATGTGCAATCATACATATAGTAATCAGTGATCACCAGCAGGTTAAGGCTGTTGGGTCTTGTGAGTCTTCCATGGGTTTGCTGCAGCAGATGTTGCCTAGCTCCTCGGAGAACGTTAAAAGGTTGTTGTAGAAGTGGCGGACGTTGCTGGAAGACCAAAACTGTGCGGTGTTGTTGCAATGTTGTGAAACCTTGTGGTAACTGTCTTGTGTGCTTTTCCTGTGATTGTTATGGACACAACCGTTGCCATAGATGCTGTCTTCAATAATACAAGATAAACTTTAAGCCTAAACTTGAAATGCTGCACCTTCTCCATCTTCCTCCACTTCCATTTTTGTTTTTTTGTTTTTGGTTTAGTTTTCCTCCCTAATGAGTAAAAGCACTCTCTTTACCACTGAAAGCTTTCACGACATCAATATCTTGCTAAATGATGAAATTAGAGAATGTACTATATATATTATATATAAATATAGAGGGGCCAATAATCTGAGGACCCTTCTTTCTCTGGATTTTTGTGCAAATTGCCGCTAAGGAATTGCTTGTTTTTTTTTTTTTGGCCGGAAAAGGGATGGATTTGTTACTGTCAGTATTTTGGGAAAAGAACCTCTCCAAGTCTTGTTCTACTTCAAAAAAATATTTTTAGAGTTAAAAGTCTAAAAATATATTTTTTATTAAGGAACCAGACGAAAACTTTATATAAAGTTAAAACGATGAAATGTACATTTTTTTCTAAATTTTATTATTCCCTCCTATTTTTAACTCGAGCGCGCTTGAATAAGGATGCGTTTAATTAGTTCAGAAAAAGAATGTGTGGGTGAGAGAGGGGGGGGGGGAGTATTTTCGTGAAAACTGAAAAGATGAGGTAATCTTAAAATATGTAAATTCCTCTTGTGAAAATAGAGGAGGTAATTTTTTGATAAATGTTTGAATTATTAAAAAAAATTATTCTCCCTCCAATCCTATATATAAGCTGCACTTTTAGAAACAAGTCTGGTTCAAAATATAAACTTCATTTTTTTAATCTGTCTGAGCATTTTTTTCCTATTTAACCTTTAGTTGACTAAATTTAATACCTTCTCTCATTAATAGTATTCTTATATATTATTTTTTATTTATTGTCTCTCATCTACTGTCTTAATAACTAAGAGTAAATTTGTGAAAAAAAATACATTTATGACTTATTTATTATTTTTAATTAATTTTAACTGTTAGTTTGTTAAACGTGATTCGATTATTTAAAATTTATATATATAGGACCAGGGAGTGATTTAAAAGGTACAAGTGATCGGTATAAAAATATTTATAATATTTTTTTTTTGTTGCTTTTGTTAATTCTTGTTCACATGGGAGCAACATAATGTTTTAAGTAACTAGCAATTCAAAATCGCAAACTCACATCCAAGTAGCCATCTAAGGATAGAATCCTGTCTTTTTTGGGAAGTGCCTGATGTTTTTTCTTGGCCATTGGCTTTTGCTTCTGTAACTGTAATCGTGCTTCCCAAGGTAGCTTGATGAGTCAAACAGCTGAAATCAGAAGGGCTGGCCAAACCTATCTTGCTCCTCGGAAAACGACACCAACATCTTTATTAATTCATCCGCTTAAAACTGATCCGCGCAGTCAAATTTGTGGTATTAAAGTAATGGTTATTAGAATATTATAAAAACAGAAATCATCAAGACCCAAGTGATAAATTAAAATAGTATAGAGTCATCAATAATATATCTCAGTCAACATCCATCTAAAATTGTAGTCCCGCGTTTAATTTTGAATGAAAATTGAAAATACCATTATATGATCTGACTCATTGTAACAAGGCCTGCCAACCAAACCAAGCTTCTCCAAGCTCACACAAAAATAAAAGAAAAAAAAAAAAAAAAACAAGAACTCATGCATGAAGAAACGAAACTGGCAGTTTTGTTAACGTGAGGAAGTAGTAATAAGAAAGAGCAGTTGAAGTTGAATGACTGAATCACTGACGGAAAGTAGGAGAGATGAGTGAAGAACAAGTTGGCGACTGAACCACTTCTTCTGAAACTGCATCCTTCTCCCGCGTCTGCAAACCGAACCAAGATTCGCTTCCAAGTCACTACAAAATTATATAATTGTCTTATATATTACTCCCGATCTTTAATATAAGACCCATTTAACTAATTTGATTAGATTAAGGAAGTTAGGTAAGTTAGTTAATTATAAGAAAAGTGACACATTTTTCCTAAAACACCATAATCATCTTTCTTAATACCTCCTCTCCCTCTTCTACTTGATTATAGTTGAGGGAGTATTCATAGGGGTAATTTAGATAAAATTGATAAATATAAGGAATGGGTCTTATATTTAGGACCAAAATCAACTCAAAAATTGGGATTAAGGACCGGAGGAGTAATATATATATAAATGTATGAGAGACAAGAATTCATAACATATTATTATTATTATTATTGGAAGTGAAATAATAATACATATAGAGGGAGGGATGTGTGAGGACTGAGGAGTGTGTGGTTGCATGTGACAAGTCTGGGGAGGATCAGTAAATTATGAAAGGTGGAACACGCAAAATATACAAAAGGATCGATCGGCATGTGAAAGAGTGAGAAGTGAGCCCTCCCTCTGATTCCCAATTATATATATAATCCAAAACCCTATGAATGGCCCTACTCCAATTAGTCCTTATTGCTTGGTCCCTTCCTCGGCCTTTTGTTTTTGTTTTTGTTTTTTTTTACTACATTTCTTTAACAACGTTAACTGCCCCGCAACAATCCATTAGGTTATTGTCAAATTTGTTGTTACAAAATCTGCTGCCTTGGATCTTGCTTATATAAGATATATCTCCTCCCTCTCTGGTCATGTCTTGAAGGTCGCTGCCACAAGTTAAATGATAGTTATTGTTGCTTTCTTTTTGGGAATATTTTGGATTTTAGTTACAAGACACTTTTTTAGAATTTTCTTTCATGTTTATAATATGTCTCTGCATTAGTTATTTTCTTCCAATTGTATCTTATGGTAATTTTCTGAGTGGTGTAATATGGTGTGTGAAAAAACAAAAAGTGCTTTTAAAAACTATATAAGGGTGAAGGCAGAATTTTTCTTTTTTGGGACAATATCAACCTCTCTTTCCTTTCGATGACTTATATAAAGAATCAAAAGAATTACATAATTTGATTAAAAGTGTTATAGAAATTAAATTAGAATAAAAATAAGACTGACTCAAAAATTTGTAAACGAGGGAATTTTGCATATTGGAGCACGTATATATTATTCTTACCATGGAAAAAGAATTAAAAACATGTTTCGCTTAGCATATTAGATTATACTAATTAACTTTAATATATATGTGTGTGTATTTTCTCCCCCCTTGTCAAGCCATCGTAAGACCTCTATGCATAAGGAAAGAGATCAAATGGACAATTGTAGATACTTACAAGGGGTGTTTTGATAAACAATATATTAAATGTTTACAGAAAGTTTATCTCATTTCTACCCCCAAGAAAAAGTTTATCTCATTTTGTTGTCATCCTTTAGTTTATATTATTGTGTAGCTGAAAGTGTTCCTTATCAGCCATCTTAAGATCTCTTAAGTTTGTAGGCTTCTAAGCCTCTCCATACCAAGAAAGCTTGGTAGGTCCCAAACCCCTCTGCATACATAGGCTCCCTTTGTTCTAAAAAGATGCCTTTCTCTTCTTCCTAGCTAATTAATAAGTCAACCTTCTCTCTCTTTCCCCCTCACTCCTTAAAATCCCACCCACAAACTCTTTCCTCTCCACATGCTCGCCTATGGCTCTTGATCATCACAAAGATTCTCATCTGAACACCGGCGATGCTTGGCGATGGTATCCCCGCCGCGGTGTTCCCCTGTTGCGACGGCGGAAGGTGCAGATGGTGAGGCTGGGCGGGAAAAAGCCAGGGCGACGTCGAGTGCTTTTTGTGCTGAGAATGTTGAAGAAGATAAGGCTCAGGTGGTTGAAGTTGCAGTACCGACGGATGCTCAGAAATCTGAAAGAATACTACAGAAATCTGGTGAAGGACATGGTGGAAGCCGGCGCCACCATTGAGGCTTTTCAGCAGAGACTCTTCTTGGAGTCTACTTTTGCTGTTCCTGCTGGCGTCACCTTCTCCGTCTACCCTCACAGCTTCGGATCAGATCGCCCTCGAACCATCTTCATCTTGTGATCCATCTCTCTTTCATGTTCTGCATAACGAGGCTGTGTGTGTGTGTGTGTGTGTGTGTGTGTTCTCTCAGAATACGGATATGTCTCAGCTTTCATTAATCTTTGAACGTGCATGTTTGGCTTTTGTCACCCATTATTGATCCTTTCTGAAACGAGTATATATATCTGCTCATGGAGTAAAAGAAAATTTGAGGGACGGCTATTGTATATTCCTGAAATCTGAGACTAGACAACTGATATCTGGTGTATAATGAAGGAAACTGCAGGGAGAAAGCTAAGCTTGAGGTTCTTAGAAACTTGCCTTTAGTTTAATCTTATTTGTATATTTTTCTATCCGACAACCTAAGCATATGAGAATAGAGCTCGATCGAGTTGTGTTTATAAATATGATGTTGGAGAATATTGTTGGCCTTGCTGTAATCTCCGGTCTCCTTGCATGCGTCCTTATTCCAGTGAAACTGTAATGAGAAGAATTAGAAGAAGAATCAAATTAAAAGTGGTAGCAATTGTTCTAATTAACTAATCACCGTTTTAATTTGATCTCTTCATGTGTTTTTCATTCTTGTTTGGCTTCCTTGGCCTTGGGAATGAAAATACAGTTTAATATATTATCGAAGTGCGCTGATTGGCATGATGGGGCTGGTAGCTGAAATAAACAAAGTAAAACAGAATACGAATTCAATTTTATTTTCTTTTGCTGCACAATAACTATCATTTTTGGAGCCGATCTACGCGTGATCACAGAGGACCTTCACATGTATGTTGATTTGGCGTATCCATAGGAGAATGTATTTTCTTCAAGTACTGACCCAAGTTTTGGACAAAAATAATAATTAATTAAAGAACACATTTCTTTAATCTAGTAATTAACTAGGCCATATTCAAGTTAATTACTCTTATTGTTTTCTTTGTCAATATTCTTCTCGTTTTACCAATCCTGGAAAATAGGGGATCTTGAGAACATCAAAGTTAAAGCCTGCTTTTTGCTTGTGGGCCGTGGCGCACCTTATATAACATTCCATTGTAATTCCGGTTTTTAAATTCATTTCTTGATTAACATAAAATCGTTTAAGATATAGGTATAGTCGTATAGTGGTATACTGGCCTCTGAAAGAGCCTTTTTTTTTTTAAATACAAAAACTATCTCAAATTCTTAATATAAGAGGTAACTGACTAATTTGAATTGATTAAGTCAATTAATTAAATTAGTTATTTGTAATAAATAGGTGTTATTTTTCTTAAAATATTCTCGCTAATCAAATGTATTAGTTAGAATTACCATTTGATGAAATATTTAACATGTGCAACTACTGCGAGAATTATTTTTAAAAAATAGATAAATATAAGAGACAAAATAAATTAAGATATCATATATAAGGCTAAATTAAAAATTAAAATATCTCTTCTATTAATGACCAAAAGTAGTGTATCATAGTCAAAGTTAGTGCTCCAATTGAAGAATCAACTGATCTTGCGACTTGTTATCTGTGTGTGTATGAAAATTCTAGCAAATATTGTGACCGTTTATCAAACTCCATGCCACACTACATTAGTTTAATTAGTGAATGACAAGAAGAAAAGCGAAGGCAAACTTCATTATATTTGGGTCTTGTTAATTAATCTTCTCTAGATTTTAAATATAGGAACTAGATTGCTAATTTATAGAAATTAAGAAAATTATTAGTTAAGTTGGTCATTTTTAAAATATTACGTATTGATTTCCCTAAAATACTCTTATTAATCATTTACATGTATATATTACTTGCTTTTGGAAAACTCATTTTAATATGTGTAATCAACAAGGAGAATTTATATTTAAAAAACTATAAATTTGGAAGACAAATAGATTGATATCTTTACATTTAAAATTAAAACTCTCTATCAGTTCTTATATTTAGGACAAAATGAGTACATGATTTCATTAATCATCAAATTATAATATAAAATTTATAACCAGCTGCACTATTTATAAATTATGAATAATAATGACTTAATGTTCATATTCAATGCAATAGAAATAATGTCTAATTTTAGAGAGAAGCATATTTGAACATGCTTAAGTATCAAGCCTAAAAAATGTATAAATAGATTATTTTTGTCAATTTAGCCAATTTAAATTTATCTAGGAATAAGTATACATTTTTTGTTAGGAAAATAAGAGATGAAATTGAAAAATAGATAAAGAAATAATAATCCAAATCCAGAACTATAAACAGTAACATGACAACTGTTATATGGCCAAAGACAGACAAACTATACAAAGCAAATGGATTAATCATCAGAGGGAAATTAATTAAATGGGGAATCATATATATAAAATACACATTCAGGCATATATTCCAAATATGACCTCCCTAATAACTCTATGGTTTGTCTTCAAGTGCGCTATGGATCTTATCTTTTGTCCCTTTGATTTGTTACGTTATTATTGTAATCACATCAAAATAAAGATGGTTCATAATGCAAATAATATTATCATCCCTACCAAAAATTTCATATTAAATCATCATACTCAGCTATCTGCAATCCATAGGATATATAGGTCACTAAAAAATAGCTCATGATCAATAAAATAGACAGGTTTTTTATCACGTCTTAATCATATATCAGGGATCGAATATAAATATTTTCCCTGACCAAAATTTCATATTAGAAATTCGTGATACGGATTGCTGAACATACTATTAAAAAAGTGAGTCAATAAATTAAAAAATGGCAAGAAAATAAATCAATGGGCGTCACCCTCTGCGTCTGTGACGTGCACATGATCACGATCTAACATGTTAGAGTATATGGAAGAATGTGGATGAACAAACAAGGTTGGAGATCATAAAGCATTATATATATTCTAGTGTTGTCTGTAGTCAATTAATTAATTAATTAGTTTGAACAACTCAAGCGTATAACATAATTAACCAGCCTAAAAATGGAATTAATGTTAATAAATTCGGTTGAAAATCAATGTTTTAATAATGCTTTACCGTATATATATTTTTTTGCCAGCTGTTTACTGTATATATAGCCGCAAACTTTTATAATGGTAGATATAATAGCTATATTATATATTATATACAGCCTGAGTTATGGCCAATAACCTTAATGGGCTACTTGATAAAAACAAAAACTTAATGGGCTATTAACTTGAACAATTTTTTGTTGGCGGCTGTGGTGCTTAAAAGATCGAAGATGTCCGTGCCATATATTAAGGATTAAATTATACTGGTGGAATTTAAAAGGTTGTTTGAATAGAAACCAAACTATGGTTTTAAAAGTACTTTTACGGTATACGAAATAAATATGTGGAGGAGTTTGTTTCATTTTATGGAAAAGTTTTTTTGAAAAATACTTTTATACAATCCCAAACACCCCCTAAGTTTATAGATTTTTTGCGATCATCCTTTATTGTTTTTAAGAATTATCTAGTGTGTAATATCATCATTTGATATGTGTGCGTTAGCGGGTCTAAATTAAATTAACAGATTTCTATGCGTTTTCTTTCTTTCTTTTTTTTGCGTTAGGCACATTTCTATCCGTTTTTTTTCCCTATTTATAAAGTTTGAGTTATTAATCTTATTTAATGGTATTGGCCTTCTTTTATTTGATCCAGAGTCGACGTCAATCCAATGTGTTAAATGAGTTATAATCTGATATATTTTAATAATGTATACATTTATTCGTCATTTGTATAGTGGTGTGAGCATGGTGATTATTACAAGAAAATAAGACTTTCAGCAATGATTTTCAAAAGTCTCATCTCTAACCGCGATAGATAATTTTGGTGATGACTTTCTAGAATCGCTGGCCTTCAGTAATATCTTTAAAAAGTGACTGCTGAAAATTTAATTTTTACCGGTGATTTTTTAGAGTTGCTGTTAAAGGTTAAGTTACACTACAAAATAAATTTTATATTTAAAATCAGAGGTTCACGGGTATAAAATGAAATCAATTTTCTTATTTTTTCAAAAAATTATTAAAATTATTTTGGAAAATTCGTTCTTTTTTTATTTGAGATGGAGATATATTGAAGAATTACGTGGTCAATATGTCCACCGGCAAAGCACCAGAGGTAGGTGGCACTGATATCACCACTAATAAACAATAATTATCTCATGGGTTTAATTAGATACCAATATTATAATCACGAACACCAGCTAACGTGTTTCTTGATGACCACGACTAAGCATTTTAATTATCCTTTGTAATTTTTTAATGCGTGCTTTGAAGTTTTGATTGAAAAAAATAAGTATATGTTAAAATCTTTTTAAATTTTCTTAATATGTTTTTAGTTTATTTAATCTATTCTCTACGTAATCATCTCTGTTACGTCATAATTAAAGTTCGTAAAATTAAGAGTATAATAAAAATAAAAATAATTAATATTGTCTTAGCCCTTTAAAACAATGGATGTGTATTGTGCAGAAACAAAAATGAGGCCATTTTCTTTGGTTCCCATCTCGTAATGTCCATGTTTGTCAAATAATAATAATAATAATAAGATCGTAATAAATATATGTATTTAGTATTGAACCAAAGGAGTCATAAAATATTTTTTATGGAATCTGAGCAATATACGGGGTACTATGAAATTTATATTATATTACCTCATGTCTTAATTATAAAATCCCGTCTGTAAACGATAAATATCAAACAATAAATAGGAATGACAAAATATTTTTTTGGGTCAAAAAAAGGATGGAACGATGTGGGCTTTGGGCCGCTTGGTTTTACAAAACCGCATGACCTTCACGTGATTTCTTCCAACCCTCCTTTCACTGTCACCCATTATTTCTACATCTTCTTCTCTAATTCTGTTACTCTCTTCCCCTTTTCAATTAGATTTTTTCCCGCTATTTATGTGGTCTACAATTCTATTGTTAGGTATTGATTGACCACCTTCAACATGTGTTTAGAAACTATTTAATTAATTTGAATATATTAAAAAATGAAATTAATTAATTATAACAAATGCAGTATGATTCTTAAAATACTTGTGTATAATACTAGATTATTTATCAAGTCAATTAATTTGAAAAAAAA